GTTCCATCATGCTATGCCCGACCAGGAGTCTCCAGGGAGGCAGAGAGGCGCAGAGTGCTCTCACACAGAGACCTCCCTCCACTTCAGGGAAAGCTTCCAACTGTAAACATCAAAACAGAAAGTTAGTTTCATGAACATGTGTTTTAATAATGACTCAGAACAAAACCATAACAAGGCAATAATTTTGTTTTCAATTTAGACTGAGATTTGTAAACTATTTCCATACTCACCATCCCAATTGAGGCTGTAGTCACCCTATTGACAATATATACATGTTATTGTCCCCGTTAAAAAAACAGGAACAAAAGTTACCCTCATTCATTCAGCTGTTGTTTACTGAATGCTGACCTTGTGCCAGGGACATGGCAGTCACAAACAAAACAAACACACAAACAAAAACTTCTCTTGACCCCTGAGAGCTTTGTGACCCGCTGGATCAGCAGCAACAGGCAGTGAGAGAGCTGAGTAGGAAGGGGGCCAGGGAAGGGAGAGCACAGGCTGGGGTGTCAGGAAGGGTGCCAGGGAAGGTGATATTTCAGAGACCTAAGTGAGCTGCCTCAGGGACTTGCCCCAGAGTTGGTCCTCTGATGCCCATTTCGTATTCTTTCCACTACCTCACTCAGACTCTCTAACAGTGAGTACTGTGATAACCATTAGTCTTTGATTAGATCCAGTAGATAATCCTATTCTGTTACTAGCTACAAATAATTTAATTAAATGAGAAAGTCTAACGTTTAGATTTTTCCTTTAAATAAACAAAACAAAACAAAACAAAAAACCGCTGGTAGGTTAACATCTGTGTCCCCTTGACTGGTCCTTGATGCCTCCCTTCCCTAAGGCACTGAACCACTGAACCACTGAACCACTGAACCACTGAACCACTGTACCACTGTACCACTGAACCACTGAGCCACTGAATCACTGAACCACTGAACCACTGAGCCACTGAGCCACTGAACCACTGAACCACTGAGCCACTGAGCCACTGAGCCACTGAACCAGCTGTGCTGCCCACCCTCCATCTGTGGGACATGTGCCTAAACTTTAAGAACGAGACAATGATTTTACCTTCTGAAGCTTGGCTACCCAGAAAACTTTACCTCTTGAAACTTCCTCAAAACCAAGCAGGTGTTCAAATGTGGTGGCATGCACCTGTACTCCTAGCATATGGGAAGGTGTGGTAAAAGGAAGGCATATGTGAGGCCAGCCTGGGCTACACAGTGAGCTGGAGCCAGCCTGGGCTAACAGCTGGGGCTGGCTGGCATCTTCTTTCCTCATGACATCTCCAGCAGAACAGCCAATTCTTTTAATGTGGTTTCCTCGGAACCTGGGAAAGCAGAGTATTTCCCAGGCTGTGTGAAGCTTTCTCTGCGTTTCTGCTGCTCAAGGGTGTAATAACTTCTTTTTGGATCACTATGACCGAAACACCTAGTAGGCAAAAAAAGAACAAGAAACAGAAATAAAGTAGCACAGGTCCATGTTGCTCAGAGTTCCAGAGAGATTTGGTCCTCATAGCAGCTAAGGTGTGGTGGAGGAGCAGCATTGTCAGGGATGGCAGCAGGAGCAGGCATTAACTCCACAGGCGGCAGCAAGCCGAGGCAAAGAGCCCAGCAGGGAGCCAGGAGAACAGATGACCTTCAAGGTCCTTCCCCTGTTAACCTGCTTCCTCTATGCAGGCCTACCTCCTAAAGGCTCATGGCCTTCAAAGAGATGCCAGGAGCTGGGGACTGAGGGTTCAAAACATGGGGACATTGCAGAGTCAAACCATCCCAGCTTCTTGCACGTTCAGCTCAGAGGCCTCCTGCAGGGAACTGACCTGGTTAAGCATTGCTTGACATCATGAGGTTTCCTCTAGAACATTGGTGAAAGCCCCAGTGATCTGTTACTATTGCATTCTGCATGCCTGCAAAACCAGCACCATATACATTACACCAAGTCGGAATAGCTGGGGCCAAATAGCCCACAGCCTGTGAGTGCCTGCACAGCTGGACTTGGCCAAACACTTCCCTAGGCATCACTTTTTCTGCAGGGCACTCCTTCATCTCTCTCTTTTGAAATGGAAGTTTCAAATAAATTTGCATTCTTATATTCTGAGGCCTTCAGGGAAAGAGGTCTCCATAGCAAGGCATCTTTCCTGTTGTCCCACTGCATGGTCCCTGGCTTCTCTTTAATGGCATGAGTCTCTTTACCAACCTGCTTTGTCTGGAACGGCTCTAAGTGTGCTCTCTGTCCTTTCCTGTCCAGTCTGCTCATTGGTTTATCTAAACTCTCACTACCTGGCTAAAAGCAAGTAATAACTAAGCCACAGCTGAAATGGTACATGTCTTGTTGAAGTTTCCTCCACCAAATCAACTAGCCGATTACTTCCTCACTCCTCAGTCATCTTTTCAGGACCTGGACCCAAGTATCCAGATTCTTGGACAAAAGTAACACAAATCACCTCTAGCCCAGTTCTCATGAGAGACCTTGTTCTCATCTGAAACCTCATGAGTTCAGCCTTCACATTCACATTTCTATCCACATTTTGGACTTCCAAACTCCCAGCAGAACCAACCAGGAGGCTCTTGTTAGCGTTCTAGGATTTAATCAAGCCCACAGCTTCAAACTCTTCCTCATTTCTCCTCAAAGTCAGTTCTAACCATCTGAGAAGTACGGATTAGCTCTGTCACAGTGATGACCCCATTTCTTGCACACTCTGTAACTGTGACCAGATTACCTGGCAGAAACAATGTAAGGAAGGAGAGAATTGTTTTGTCCCTTTCCGTCCATCATAGTGGGACAGGCGTGGCTCCATCCACAGCAGCAGGAGCGTGATGCAGGAGCATGACACAGTGACTTCTCACATCGTGGATGAGGGAGCCTTTTGGCCAGGCTAGAACCAGGGGTAGAGATAGCTTTCAAAAGCCTGCCCCTCCCGATCTACCTCTGCTGGCCAGCCCTCACCCCTAAAGACACCGCAGCTTTCAAAATAGAGCCGCAAATGGGGCACGAGTGTTCAGAACGTGAGCCTGTGGGAGACATTGCAAACACAAGCCCAAACAGCCCACCTGGAGGCCAGCCTGGCTCCAGTAAGACAGCCGCATCTAGATGGAAGAAGCAGTTGTGTCTGCAAGTGTGAGGAATGGCTGGAGGCGGAGTTTGAAGCTAACCACTGCGCTATCAATATGGACTCACCACCGAGAGATGCTGAAGGGCCCAGAAAGTGGCAGCTGACTGGTAGAAATCCCAGGGTCACTTTCTTGAACTCATTTCAAAACATATTCTGTTCTAGTATCCCATATTTCTGGCAGAAACCAACTGTCAGGTCCCTCTTCGTAGTCAGGCCTCTAGGTTTGTCTTTCTGTTCTGTCTTGGGAGAATCACTTCATACCTGAAAGTATCCCTTTTTTACCTATAATCTGGAATGTTGGTGGAGCCTGTGAAATAGGCCTGTTGTTGAGAGAGGGGGGTTATGTAAAAAATAAACTAGGCTTATCAGGCTTTGTCTCACTTTCCTTACCTTGGGGTTTGAAATGCCCTTCTGCCCTTGTACTTCGACACAGTGTGAAAACATTGGGGAAAAAGGCAAGTGTTTTTTTTTTTTTTTTTTTTTTTTTTTTGAGTTTTTC